TAGCAGAAGAGAGGTCAATGAGCGACGGGCACGGGAGGTTCTTCGACAGATGGAAGAGGAGCGGGAGCGGTTATTGAAGGAGAAAACCAAGGCGGAAGAGGAAGCCACGCAGAGGGTGACACAGAAGAGGAATACAGAGGACGATGTCCAGGATGCGAGGTCGCGGTACCTGGAGAGGAAACGGCGAAGATTGGAGGAGGAGCAGGTCGCGCAGGGTCATACCTAGTAATGTTAGTGTGTGGTGTATTACGTCAGTAATACTATTCCTTTTCGTCCAAGATTGACTCGGTGGTGGATGTGGCGAGTCAGACTTGCCATATCACTTGCCCATCTCAACATCGGTGCACGCCTCGCCCATACTGCGGCCATGGCCAGCGTAAACAGGACTGCCCATCCATTTGACAAGAGCCGCTTAGAAGCTCTCCTCAATCGCCGATTTTTCTACGCCCCTGCATTCGAAATCTACGGAGGTGTGTTCCCATCTCCCTTTCCTTTGCCCAACTAACCAACAACAATTCCAGGCGTAGCTGGGTTATATGATTACGGTCCCCCTGGGTCCTCCCTTCAAGCCAACATCATCGCTGAATGGCGTCGACATTTCATCGTAGAAGATCACATGCTTGAGCTCGACACGACGATTATGACGCCCGCGCCGGTTTTCGAGACTTCCGGTCACGTTGCGCGCTTTGCTGATTGGATGGTGAAGGACGAAAAAACTGGAGATGTCCTTCGCGCCGATCATCTCGTAAAAAACGTTCTCCAAGCGAGACTCGCAGGAGACCTGGAGGCGAGGGGCTTTGCAGCAGATAAGGTCATGGAAGACGAGAAGAAAAAGAAGAAGAAGATCAAGACAACTGCCGTGCAGTTGCCTGATGAAGTCGTGAAGGAGTACAAGAGCATCCTCGCTCAGGTGCGTTCTCGTCATCACTGTGATGACTTGTCATGTTTGACGCGTTCACTATGTCGTGGGGTATTTAGTTAGACAACTATTCTGGACCGGAGCTAGGTCAGTTGTGCAGGAGTCACGATATCCGCAATCCGGACACCGGAAACCAGGTCGGAGAACCCCAACAGTTTAATCTTATGTTCGCGAGTAGCATCGGTCCCACCGGTCAACACCCTGGGTAAGGTCTTGCGACTTCCTCCTTTCACTTCGTCGTTAACGGCTCTGCCTCAGCTTCCTCCGCCCGGAAACTGCACAGGGCCACTTCCTCAACTTTTCGCGCTTGCTTGAGTTCAACAATGGCCGGATTCCTTTTGCATCCGCCCAGATTGGGAAATCATTCAGGAATGAAATCTCTCCGCGTGCCGGTCTCCTTCGCGTGCGCGAATTCACTATGGGCGAGATCGAGCATTACGTCGATCCTGAAAACAAAAGCCATGCTCGATTCGCTGAAGTCCGCCACATCGTACTCCCTCTTCTCAACCGCTTCGTACAAGAGTCCGGGTCCACGCAAGTAACCAAAATGTCCATCGGTGCAGCAGTCGACAGGGGCATCGTGGCTAACGAAACTCTAGGCTACTTCCTTGCCCGTATCCACCTCTTCCTGCTCAAGATTGGAGTAGATCCACGGAGACTGAGATTCAGGCAACACATGGCGAACGAAATGGCGCACTATGCAACGGATTGCTGGGATGCCGAAATCCAGAATTCATCCGGCTGGACGGAGTGTGTCGGCTGTGCCGACCGTGCTGCTTACGATCTTTCAGTCCACTCGGCACGCACTGGGCATCCACTAGTCGTCCGCCAGGCCCTCAAAGAGCCAATAGTCACTGAACGAGAGGTACCCGAGTTCAACAAAAAGGTTCTTGGAAAGACGCTGGGTCGGGATGCTGGCCTGGTGCAGCGTGTTGTTGGGGAGATGAGTCAAGAAGAACTCGTCAGGTTAAAAGGAGAGTTATCCCAAGGGTAAGTACCACCGGTGAACCGCATTTCTCGTAATTTGATATGCCATTCTTTTTCGTCCGTGGACAGGTCCGCGACAATATCTGCAGACGAGAAACAAATCGCTCTCACGCCTGAGCTACTTACCATAGAACGAAAGACATTCAAGCAATCTAGTGAGTTTTATCTCGTCTTTCTCCCGACAGATCTCAACGAACTGTTCAAGTCCGTGAATTCGTTTCCAAATGTGATCGAACCCTCGTTCGGTTTTGGGCGGATTTTATATTCGCTGCTGGAACATTCTTTTTGGTGCAGGGAGCAGGATGTCGAGCGTGGTGTGAGTGCTCACACTTTGTTCTCTCCGCGATGTACAACGTATATGCAGGTCCTCTCGCTGCCCCCGCTCGTTGCGCCAACAAAAGTCCTCATAGTACCTCTGAGTGCAAAAGAAGAATTTGACCCGCTTATCGAGGAAGTCTGTGCGTACTTTTTTAACTTCGATTTCGAACTTGCGTTCACAATGTAATTAGCTATGAAACTCCGCAGATGTGGTATATTCTCCCGCGTCGACGATTCGAATACGTCGATCGGCAAACGGTATGCTCGTAATGATGAGCTTGGCACGCCGTATGGTGTCACGCTCGATTTTGCTTGTGCGTGGCCTTCACTGAATGAACGCACACCTATCTAATAGTAATACATTTAGCGCTTCAAAATCGGACGATGACACTCCGGTAAGTCATACATGGATTTTCTCCGTTACAAAGAACGGGACGCACAGTGCTAACACTCTACTCCTGTACGATGGCAGTGAACGCGACACTACCGACCAACTCATAGGTTCTATCGATGATGTCATTTCCGTAATAATGGGATTGGTCCATGGAGCGCTCACTTGGGAAGATGCATGCACGCGCCTTAAGGCATACGGCGGTGTGCAAGCTATCGAGTAGACTCATGTATATGGTCTCCGGTCTGAGGTGCATCTATTTCAGTCTGTAACGTAGGTCATTGTCTACTGAGTACAGGTAAAGCTCGGAACATCGTAGACTCGTAGATACCAGAAACGTAAGAGTTGGACAGCATTGCAAGTGAAGTGTGCATCTGGAAAAGTCGATAGTTTCTGTGACTTCAGCCGTGATTAAGCCACTTTGCGCTGGATCACCTAGGTTTTTGGACGGGCACAAACAAACCTGCGAAGAGGGGCTGCAACCCGCTTTAAACGGATTAAACGTCATGGAGGCACTAGAGGTAACCAAGAAGCAGACAGACTGTGGAGCTGAGGGAGTGAATGAACGATCTCTAGGTTCATTAACGCACTGGGTCGTTAACCTTACTCACAAAGGACCAAGATTAACCTGGACAAAACGATACCTTGTTTTGTGGCGGCTTTGTGTTGTATGATGTAATGCCATATGACGAAAGAATCTCCGTCCGAGTTCATCGATCATCGATCATCTCCAGTTAGGACTAATAGTTCAAAGTCACTCGAAAGAATCAACCTGCGGAAGAAATCATCGTGCTCCTGTTTTCATCTTGGCAGTGCTTCTTCGGGTAGGTGACAGCTGGCATGAATATAATTGGACACTGTTGCGCTGACAGAATGCACTACACACTCCAAAGTCTGGAGTGTGTAATGCTTTATATACAACGGGGAAGGATTCTATGGTGATCTGGTTTCCCCCTTGTCTATTCATGCACAATTTCGACTGTATTTCGCCACGGCAGTCCAGTGAAAGTTGGTAGTGGTGGTACTCATAGTAGTCCGGCGGAACAGTTCTCCGGATGAAGCAAGACACATCTCAGTATTTCAAAGACTCGTGAAAGTACGGACGATTTCCATCTTTATTACAAACAATCCATCGGAGACATACATTTACAAACCACCATTGCGGTGATCTACTCCGAAGTATTCAAGGGCAAAAAGTGACCGTATACACTGCATTCTTGCTTGCAGGGCATGTAAACAAAGCAGTGCTATCATCAAAGGCATAACAATATGCATTTGGACAATTCGACTCTACATAGAAGTCAGTTCACCACCAGAGAATGTAAAAACAACTAATCACTTACTGAAATAACTGTAATAGGCCACACCAGAAGAGGGACAGGTTTGTGGGGTGTCGTACTCCCCCGTACAACAGTTGGGCGAGTTGGCTGCATCATGGAGTTGATTGGCTCAGGTGGAACGGTAAACGGAAGCGCTCTAGCATTACTTACACGGGTTTCCATCAAGGTTTGCCTTGCAAGCGCTTTTACAGCCAACAGGGAAACCTGTCGAATCGAACGGGCCTTTGAGAGGTGCAGGGCCTACAGTAAATTATTTTTAGCCCTCCATTTACAAAAAAGCATTAACGCGTTTACGAACAGTTCGGTCCGAGATCAACCGGGCAGTTTGCGACTGGACAACCAACATTGTTGGTAATGCTCATTGGCAGATTATAGCCATCCACAAGGGACACTGAAACAAGGAATGGAAATGATGGTTGTTCACTGGATCGTGTGCATGAGACGAGGAAATACAGACCGTCATAGTAGTCTAAGCCGCCACTCTGGTTAAGGCTAAATTCCGCGAGAGTAGCAGGTGGTACGCCCTAACGAGGTGATATAAGGAAGGGTCATCATGGAAGGGATATGCAGTGATGGCTCCTCACGGTACCGGTATTTGGGTCACATTCCAAGCCGCCGTTGCACCCACCGTCGAGGCACGAGCTAGGGCCCGGGCTAGTGCTAAAGTTGCAGTCACGACGCCCCTGGAGGTAGATCAGGCTGCAGTCTCTAATGGGTGCGATATTGTGTACGAACCCAAATCCTGCCCGCTTGCCAGTTGTCAGGGACCTGCAAAAGGTGGGTCAAGAAATGAAGGAAAGCGGCGATAAACCTGCATTCACAGAAAAGGTCACAGATGTATAAGGGGGAGCTTCCCATCTAGCAAAACATGGATCAGACATCGGTAGAAATCGGCAAAAGAGTATTACGGACCCTGTCGAATAGGATGGACGTGTTCCAGTCCCTGTGAACATCTATCTCGATTAATCAGTAGGGACAAGCACATGGTATAATGCCAAGGTACCGCAGGCCTGTGTACGAGTTGTCAACAGTGGCCGTGAAGGGTCAGAGGAGTAACTCACCACATAGTGAAGGGGCAGTGATTGTACACTGTCATAGTACGCGCAAGTGCGCCAGGTACGAGAGTGAGTAAGGCTGCCAAAATCAAGGTTGACATATTTGAATGTATGAGAAGCGAGGGGTCGAATTGATATTGAATCCTGGAAGGCGCCCCTACACTATTCTTCTTATACACGGTCCGGGGGAATCGTGGTGCGCCATTTCCGACAAAGTATACTTCTGATGAGGAGCTAGTACTCCGTGTCCTCGCGATGCTTGTCACCCGGGCGATGGAGCGTGTAATAATAGCAACGGATTGCACACGTCAAGGGGGGGCTTCATAGGGCAATGTAATTCCAGTGTTCAGTCAGCAATACAGATACTTAGAAATGTTGACAGACGTACCGCGTGGTTTCTGCAGGTAGGGGACAAGACAACCTACCGATGGGAACGCCGCGGACCGCCCCCCCCCCCACAACGGCATGGAGAAGAAAAAGGAAGAGTCCTGGTAGGATATCCCTGCAATAGCCATTAAATGCCTGTGTACGGGTAGCTCCTGGTAGCCCCGTAACGAGATACGTTCCAAAACTCGGGATTCCGTCGACTTGGGCATCGCCGGAGTTAGAATGCTGAAGATGGCTTCAGTCTACTTCAGTGCACCAGGAACTATGAATGCATATAAAGTAAATACAATACCTGGAAGACGGAAAAATAATTACTATCGAGAACTTTAAGGTTGGTGGGAGATGCGGAGTCATTGCCGTGTCGTTGGTGGCACGTTTGGTGTCAATGAACATAGTGGGTGATGAATCAGTGACGGTGAGAGTAAAGCGCTTAGCAGTACCCCTCGAATAACAGAACCCACTCTGGTTTCGTGATTTAGGGGGTACTGTAGGCGCGAGAGTGCTTAGTAGTGATTGGTATCATGGAGTGAGGGTGCACCGACGTGGTGGTTGTGCTTAGATGAGTTTCACTCATATATCTCGTGGCCAGAGCAGCTAGCGTCTTAATTCCTTCAGGTTTGGCCTCTACGGATTCGACTGCAGGACACCATTCACCGCTCCGTCCTCATGCTCAAAAATTACACCCTCCCGGATCGTGTGATCGCGTTCGCTCGCGAAAGAACACCTTTCTCAAGCTGAAGTTCAAACCGGTAGGGACGTTATTTGGTGCCAGAGGGCAGAGAAGTGTTACCGCAATAATAACTGGTATTCTTCACTATGCTCATATTTGCACGTCTTGACACAGGCCGGTCACTTCCCAAGTGACAACAACTTCCCTGCGCGCTGTATCAACTGCCTTGTGGTGCGGACGCACAGGTTTTGCTTGGATATGCGCCATGGATACCTCAGTGGTGACGGTGGCGGCAGCCCAACGATGACATAGCCAGCCACAATGACAGACGATTATGGCGCCAGCGGTACGATGACAATGCTGTTTCTGCTACAGTGGCTACTAATGAAGACGGCTACCTGTGCGGATGGACACGCGATGACAACTACCCTACTGTTGCAGTGACTGATGGTGACAATGTAGGCGGCCAGTTCTGCTGCAGTGACCGATGGCGGGCTGCAATGAATGCCACGACAACCACTTGATAGATGACCAGGTGATGTGGGCAACCAAGTGCAACCACAATCACGAACAGAGAAAACGACCACCTGGTCCAAACCTGGATGGCCAATATTGCCTAACAGCAACCGCATCTTTCTAACTGTCATCATTTAATGTGAACGACTTCATAGTTCATTTTGTGATTGGATTCATGGCCGAGTTTATGTTGGTGAATAGCCGTGTATCCGGCAACAACAAATCTTCATAATCTGATCATCTGGCATAGTTAGTGTCAACAGAGACAGGGGCGCCAGAGTCAGTTAGAAAAACCAACTCATTGAGAGAGTAATTTATGATGGTGAATAGTACGTCCCAACAACAGGCAAGGTTGATATCCGGCTGGAACCATCACATCGTTGGCTGGCGTTCCACAGCATGGCCACCGAGGCCATCGTTATCGTTGCACCACTGTCGCCATAATCGCCTGTCGTAGTGGCAATCTTAGTAAATGTTATCGTCGCACGGCTACCACAGACATCACTGCGGTGTCTGGCAGATATGAGTGCTTACCCGCATCTCATCGTTGTCCCAGTCCACGCCATGTTGTAATCGTCGCTGTGAGTTGACCGGTCTTCCTTTCGCTTGGGCAGTTCGTCAACCGCTAAGGACACACTTCCATACAGCTCCATCTCCATGTCTTTCAATTGTCTCGTAAAGATGGGCTCGGCGGGATTTTTGGCCGGACATGAATGATGTGTCCGAGTGCATCTTTCAACGTTATCCCCTTCCGCTTCTTCAAGTATATTACGACGACCGTAGGCGATCTCGATATGCTTGCGACGCAGTGCACTAGGATCCTTCTGTTGTCCCTATTCGGCGCTACGGTTCCATCGATAACATTGCAAGCCGTGCCCGCGATGTTGCAAAGGGAGGACGAGCCGTTGTCATTGATAGGGAGACTCCGGTAAGCTACACCGTCCACCTGCGTGAAAAGACGAGCGCCAACGCTTAAAACGTGAGTGATGGCGTTCTTTGTGAGAAATGACTCTGATGACGCTGCAAAGCATGGCCCTAGGAACAAAAATGGGGGTAGTACGAGACAGGCTGAGCGCTGTGAGACCTGAGACGAGACTTGATGCTTCCCGTGCATTCAAATGACAGTGAGTTTTCCAAGCAAAAGCGAGGGGTCTCAGACTGTTTTTAAGGGGCTTACGACTCACTTGACTCAAGTACGTAGACATGAACAAAATGTACGCCACCAAACCTACGGATATATGACAGGAGAACCAAGTTGCCACTGAGGTATTGTGCTTACAGCTTTCGCCGCTTCCCGACACTGCTGTCCCGTGCAAGATTGGTTTTCCTTTTGACACGTTCTGCTAGGTTGTGGAGGCTCCGTCCATCGTTCGTGTCAAGGTTCTTGGCCGATACATCGCCTTTCTCGAGGTAATCATCCCTGCGGCGTTTCGAGCGTTCTTCTAGAAGAGCTAACATACCCTTAGTCTTTTTAAATCTGAATTGAAAACATACTGTTAGTAACGCCCTCCAAGATATGCAAGGATGGAAATTGCTTACTGTGGATTACTAGGATCAATTGCGAATTGATGATCTTCGTGCAGCGCCTTGAACCGGTCGTCTTTCACATCGATTAAGAAGTCCGCTTCGGCTTCCGAGCCATCATCATGTATATTGTCGTCATTACGCTTCTTTTTCTTCGTCCTCGGTTTCACAACCTCGGTGTGAGGATCGACTTTGGCTGTATCTTCAGAGGCAGCCGCCTTGCGCACTTCCTTCCTCCGCCGGCGTTTCTCTCGCACCTTCTGTTCGTACCTTTCCAGCGTAGTTTGGTCTTTACAATCCTTCGCCGTGCTTAATCCAGGTGTAAACGTGATTTCCATGTCTACGTCACTCCCTGCTTCCCCAACTTTCTCTGCTTCCTGGGCGTCCTCCCAACCCTCCGGTACGCCGTCATGGCTTCCCCCAAGTAGCAGTGCACGTAATCGCTCCCTTTCGCCCTTCCTTGGTATCTTGCTATTACTATCCTCACAATTATCCTCTGACTCCGAGGATGATGCAATGTAAGCTTTGAAATCTGCGGCATCAATGTCCTTCCTGGTCAAAGCGCACCGAGTTAGACGAGACCGTTCAGGATCTTCCTCGTCCCACGTAAGTTTGACCTTAGAGTGACGGAGTGCCTAGGAAAGTCAGTCATACGATAGATAATAAGCCGAAAGAGGAAATGTACATCGGTTGCAAACTCGATGGCGCGATATGGTACATTGGGAAGCTCGGTGGCCTCATCCCTATGGATGTCCGTGATGACTATGGCTACGCAGCAGCATGAAGAGAGGATGTACCTAGGGTCCTCTTCGAAGGTCATGTCATCGGGTACCAAACTGAGATCGAAAACATTCGCGGAACGCTCAAGTTCGGTGCCGTCCAGTTCATTAAATATATGGGTAGCAGTTTCCGCGGAATCGCATTCAACTATGGCATAATAATAACTGGCTTGCAGCCGTTTGAGACCACGTAGTCACCAGCAGCTCAAATAAACAAGGTGACATACCGCAGTCGTTCCAGCTGATACACACGCAATGCGTCCTCGTCATAATCCTCCCCGGACCCTGGCTCGTAGACCGTTCTCTCGCTAACTTCGTCTTCGTCTTCGTGTAGCTTTTTAAATACTTCTTTGGGAGGCCCTTCTTGCTCTTCTTTTTCTATGCGTTTCTTGCCGAATTCGCTGGGATATACACGCACACTGAGAATACTTCCGCGAGCAATGTTCACCGTCGATGACTGAGACGAGGGTGGGGCAGTGGAAGAGACCAGCGACGAAAAAATCTTGAAGAGGTGTACTGCACGGATGTGATCCCAGTCCATGTTAACAACAGCTAGCCTGCGCGTCTTCTGGACTTCTTCCTGAGCTTCTCCTCTGTCTGTTTCTGAATGAAATGGTTCGACCTCTTCCTCGTTGACCTCGCTTTCATGAACATCGACAGACACATGGTCGCGCTCTTCTCCCTCCTCGTCGGATGATTCCATAAGTATGATTCCGCGAGCATAGTCAGCTATCGACACGGTCGGCCCTTCTGTGGCCTTTGCTTCCTCCTCATGCGTTCGGGAATTGACTTGGAAACGTTTGTCTTGCACAATCTGAGATTTACGTTTCTTCGGTCGGCGGAAACGTGGATCGTGTCTCAGATGCAAAAAACGAGGATCAGAAGACATGACTGATGGATGAAGTGGACTAAGTTTTTTGGAAGAGTCAGTCTAAGAATTGGAAGTGGCTGTGCAGCTTCACTGCTACTAAAGCACTGACGGAGGTCGCACATTAAGAGCTACCTAAACCTCACGATAATCATGCAGTGATTCTGTTGCCAGTGCCTACGATGTACATACAGTTGGTCGGTTAGAAACAACACCTTCAAGCGATACCAAAACGTTCGCAGATGCTCATGTAATTCACCAGCCACCTTTCGAAGATTTGTCATCAACGTTTCTGTCATAGATAATGAGCTGGTGAACACCGGCTGCAGTGACAGACCACAAAGTACTGGACTCTTACCTTCTACTGTTCTGGACTCGCAAAAACAACCAGTCCACGGCTTCACGTATGCCTTGTCTGCATGGCTCGAAATTAAGACCCTGGGTAGAAGGTACATGACGGAGCACATCCCAACTCACCCATCGAGTGCCGATATACCCATGACGTCTAAGCTAGCGATACGTTGACGCCTCCGTTCCAGCTCTGCTTCTTCGTCCTCCCCAAATCGCCTCCTTGCGTATTCTCGTCTGTGTCGATCCCAAGTTTCGTAGTCGTGTCTGATCTCTGTGGCCGATAAACTGTGGGGTGAATCTTGCTTGTTTGCAAGTAGGAGAAGCGGGACATTGAGGATTTGAGGAGCAGATAGAACTGAATCTAGTTCGGAAATGTATACCATCGTGAACGCACTGAAAATATAGAAATAAGCTGACCGAAGACTTCCCACCCCTCGCCCAGTCGCTCACGGTCCTGAGCATCGATCACGAAGACGACAGCATGGCAATCATCGTAATAACGATGCCATATCGAACGCATGCTGCGTTGACCACCGAGGTCGAAGAAGTTGAGGATTGTAGATGGCAGAGAAACCTTTCCAACTGATAGACGGTGGGACATGGATATCATTTGCCAGCTCCACTGAAAGGTTGCAACACACTATTTTGCCCGACGGTAGGTCCAATCTGAGAGGGTTCAAGTCCTGGAGTGTCATTGTACAGAGTCTTGATTTTTTCCAAAAATGTCTGCGAAGCATGAAATTCAGTCCTACCAAACACTTGAGAGGTTGTGGTACATGCCGTCTTCCCAGCACCATCAAGGCCAATGATAATTATTGAAAATTCCTCCTTTCTGTGTAACTCAGCAGCCTGTGAAACTGAACACCCGGCGTCTTTACCTTGTAAGATATTCGTGTAAGCCCTTGAGGAGATGGTACATGTCGGTGCAGTGAGATCACGTGCCCTCTGTCGCGACCCGCCACCACGTGGCCGCAGGTCGCCCTTGGCTGACTGAGCAACTGCTGTACAGTTTTGCGGCATTTGCCAGCAGAACGCTGTGGTGTGAGTGATTACACGACTTCCGAAACTTCGTACGCTTCACTCATCTCTGTCAAAATGGGTCGTCGTCCCGCTCGCTGCTACCGCTATTGCAAGAACAAGCCATATCCCAAATCCCGCTACAACCGCGGTGTCCCAGACTCGAAGGCAGGTCTTTTTTTTGTTCACAATTAGCTGAGACATCCCTGACTGCCATGTCTTTTCCCCTTTCCCTGTATCCGTCCATCCGGCAGATTCGTATTTTCGATCTCGGCCGGAAGCGTGCCTCCGTAGACGAGTTTCCTTTCTGCTGCCACCTAGTCTCGGATGAGTACGAGCAGCTTTCATCCGAAGCTCTGGAGGCTGCCCGGATCTGCGCCAACAAGTATGTCACAAAGACCTCTGGCAAGGACTCGTTCCACCTCCGTGTCCGTGTGCACCCCTTCCATGTCCTCCGTATCAACAAGATGTTGTCATGTGCTGGAGCCGATAGGTTCGTCACTTCACTTGATTTGCCTCGCATTCTCCCATCTATGGGTGGGCGCCCATATGTTGGATTGGTAATCGAACCATACGTGATTGGTAATGACCTTCATTCCAGGTTGCAAACTGGCATGCGTGGTGCTTGGGGAAAGCCTTACGGCACTGTCGCACGTGTGAATATCGGACAGATCATCCTGTCTATCCGGTGCAAAGATTCCAATGCACACGTCATCCAAGAAGCTCTCCGTCGTGCACGTTACAAGTTCCCTGGTCGTCAGAAGATCATTGTCTCGAAGAAGTGGGGATTTACAAATGTGGCTCGTGAGGAGTATATGAGACTCAAGGAAGAGAAGAGGGTGTTGCAGTAAGTATCCTTTTTCACTACTTATACCTCGGACGCTGATGTACGACCGAAGGGATGGTGCTTATGTACAATTCATCCGCCCGAGGGGACCTTTGGAAGCGAACCTCCGAGCACAACTCAAGGCGTGAGATACTGATACATTTATTGGGTTTATCAGATGTATCTGCTTCGATGTATTATGCCATTGCCCAATAATGCCTATCATAAAAGTCACCGTGTACGGCTTGAAGTCCACATTCAGACAGGCTGATGCTTCTTGCGAAGGTATGTATTTAATTTAAAAAAGTTCAGTCGCAGTTTTGCCGCTGTTTCAGGCCGCGTCCAATCACTGCGCGCGCGTGGGGCGTGCACGTGATCCCGCTCCCCTATTCCGATCTCCTACATAGTCTCCTCGGCAAGGCTCCGTCTCTCTCCACTGTACGATAAACATGCGTCAGTAGTCTCGGAAGCTTCCTCCATTCACGCTCACTCTAACAACAGGTCTCATTATTCGCGACGACCCTGCGGCGGTTGGCGACTACATCGCCAACTACATCGCCAAGCGGTTTGTAGCAACCCCTCTTATCGGGGCTGGCGCTCATCGTTGAACCTTTTTTCAGAATAAACGACTTTGCTCCGACAGCAGAGAAACCGTTCGTACTTGGCCTCCCAACAGGCTCATCTCCCATACCCACTTACCAGAGGCTTATCAAGCTATACAAAGAGGGCAAGGTGTCGTGCGTAGCTATTCACTTCTCACACTCGTTCCAGTGGATTTACGTGTACATCACAGCTTTAAGCATGTTGTTACATTCAACATGGATGAATATGTTGGTTTGCCTAGCGAACATCCTGAATCCTATCACACCTTTATGTTCAGAGAATTTTTCTCCCATAGTACGTCTGGGACCTGCTCTATCAATGCCAGACCTTGACTCTCGTCGAATAGTCGACATTCCTCCATCACAGGTTAACATCCTCGACGGCAACGCACCTGACCTGATCGGAGAGTGCAATGCGTACGAGTCGCGCATAAAACAATATGGGGGTATCGAACTTTTCCTGGCAGGTATTGGGGAAGATGGGCACATCGCCTTCAATGAACCAGGTACTTCTCATTCTGTCTTGACCTCTTTGTTTTATTGATTTTTTACATGTCTGGGATTCATCGTAGGCTCCTCTCTCGCCTCTCGTACGCGTATCAAGACCCTCGCCTATGATACTATCCTCGCAAATGCTCGCTTTTTCAATGGTGACGTCTCCGCCGTGCCTCGTATGGCTCTCACTGTCGGTGTCGCCACCGTTCTTGAGGCTCGCGAGGTCGTAGTTGTTGTCACTGGCCTCCGCAAGTCACTAGCGCTCAGTCAAGCTATTGAAGGCGGAGTGAACCATTTGGTGAGTGGAATATTCTGGAAAAATTGAGGATACACTTGTGCATTTGTTGATGACTTGCTACACTAGTGGACACTTTCTGCGCTCCAACTACACCCCTGGGCACTGATCGTCGTTGATGAAGATGCCACTGCAGGTATGCTACCCCTTTTCTTTCCCCTTACGCCCACTGGACAGGTTGCCTACCTGCTCCCGTCACCGTTTGACCAATTTCTTGGCGTGCTGACATCGGCAAAATGTACAGAGCTCCATGTCAAAACTGTGAAATACTTCAAATCAATTGAGCGTGTACAGGAAGAAGTCGAACGAACTCAGCGCGCACTGGCTGAGCATGCTGCTAGTGGTGAGCTTCGCATTGGTGAAGCTGTTGCTGTTGGACTTGGTGGAGAGGCAGCAGCAGCAGGTTTGGCAGGTGGTATGGAGTGATGACCCATCTATTGATCACTTAGAGGCTCTTAAGGTAGTCATGGTGTGAAACATTGTAGTTGGTGATAACAGAAGATGAGTATGTGTCATATATGTACCACATGCCACCTTGGTGCTCCTGGTCCTTGTCAAGACTTGTTCTCCTTGGTCTTACTCAGGGGTCAAAGGGTTGTAAGGGGGGACAACTGATGTATAGTGAAGGCTGTGAGAGTTGGCTGGCATATAGGAGTCACTACTGAAGGGTGGCTGATGCAGGCTGATGAGATAGGGGCTGCACCAAGGTTGTCTGATGCAGGCCAATGGTTTAGGGGCTTGGCTGACTCCCAGAAGGCAGAGCCAACTAGGGAGGCACTGCTGAAGGCCAACAAAGGGGGACCTACAGTAGATGTTCTCATAATGCATAATGTGGGGACAGGTCATGCCTGGATGCATCATTAGAAATATGCAGGCATGGATATGTGTGACATGGTGTGACATCAAGTAACTATGTGACAGTGACTAGTCATATTCCACTACACTACTGCTAAACCATCTCCCCAATGTTGGCTGAGCAAGATGGCAGCTGAAAATCCTGAGAGTGAATACATTGAGTCCACTGGGGGAAACTTCTAAGAAGCAGCAGCATCTTCTGATTTTTTTTTCACTTGCATTGCTTAGGTAACCAGTGAACATGTCCCCCAAGTGTCAATCTAATAATGCATCATTGGGGGCATATCTTGATGCATTATGCAAAATGTGAACCCCCAGGCTGCCCAACTTAGGACCTGGCCAAATCTGATGCAACATTAGAAATATGCATGGTGAGATCATGCATTATGAGAACAGCTACTGTACTTGGGAGTTGATCTGCTGTCTTGCTGAATCAGCAAAACCCTTCTTTTTGGACAGTCCCACAGTAACTACAGCAACATGAAGGCATATGACTGTTATGCTGTGCTCACATTTGTTCCCTTTTATAGGCTTTGCTTTGTATGCTATACTGTTGCTGTCCTTGATGCTTGACATGTTGTCCCCACCTGTACTCCTGTTGTGATTCAACTCATGCTCTGTATGTTTCCCATCTGGCTTTCTTTACTCACATGCTGTACTATAGCTGGACTTAATGCCCAGATGCCTTTCTTCCCATGATTGCTGGTGGACCTTGATCTGTGCTGCCACATGACCTTTCTGGATTACCAGAAAGTCTATTTCACATACTCACACATGTTCATGTTCCCCTGTCCATCCCTCCTTTGGGTTTATACCTGCAGTGAGGGTTTTTACCTGACTGCTTAGGTTTAGATTGTAGAAGGTTTATGACCAGTCCATGGAGAGTGAAGAGGATGAGCAAGTGGTGGCAGTTGTTATGCATAGTGAAGACCCTGCTGACTTCAGAGAAGTTTACCATGCAAGCAATGTCAACCACCAACCCTCAGGTATTGTATTTAATGGCACTACTTTTATTTACATAGCACTTATACTCCAAACAGACAACAGTGATGATGAACATAGTGACAGTGATTGGTCCACTACTGTGAGGTACAACCTTAAATGTCAGCAGACAGCAAGAGAAATTTGAGCTGGGAATTATGACCTCAACACTCATCCATCCACCCCTCCTCTTGACTTTCCTTCTTCTGAAGATACTGCAGACACTGAAGGTACTGCAGACACTGAAGATACTGGTGAACTTAGAAAGTGCAAAGGGAAATCTACTTGTATTCTGCCCAAGGTTGGTAGATGCTCTGAATCTGACAAGGATGGGCTTGCTGCAGAGAATGGGCCCCTGACTTTAAGGCATGGTAGGCTCCCCATCAATGCCTTACAGAAGCATGGGCACTCAGTGTGTGCACCACTCAAGAGGCCCAAGCCATTGCTGATGAATATGGAAAAACACTTGTGTTGATTGTGGCCACCACTGGGCTCACTACTAAGGCTACCTGGGCTGAATCAGTTTGGAACATACATTGGGCTTGGTATGCAAGTACCAACCCTAAATTGTCCAACAGTGAGTACCTTTGTGTTTGTTTCCCTCCTCAATCCTGACTTGGTTGTAGAATCCATGAATGATTACTGCAGCCACCAGATGAAACATTATGAGAGTCATAAAGATGAGGGAGAACATCCTGAGCTGTGGGTGAAAATTCAGAAGTTCTGGAATGAGAGTATCAACAGTACCAAGGACATGAGTTTGAAGGTGATGGTCAGCTGGGTAATGATGTGCAGGGATTCCTTCACACAATCAGTTTGTGATGTTCCCCTTCCCTCCCCCTTTTTTTTTTCTGATTCATGACATAATTATATCTTTGTGCAGGCACAAACATGGAGTAATGTGGAGGGCATCCATGTTTTCAGATGTGTCATTTATAGCGGAAATGACAAAGCTGCACACCAAGCTCAAGGTGTCTTTGCTGGCTCTTTGCTCTGCATGCAACTTGCAAGCAAGAGGCAGACAGATGTTGCAAAATTATTGGATTTTCTCTCTATGATTATCAAGTGAGTACAATCATTGTGGGTCGTGTTTACACTGACAATTTACTCTAGATATAAAATCCTTGACTCTGCTGCTTCCATCCCACTACCCAACTTTGTCCTGTTATTGCAAAAGTCATATGACCACACTCTTGCATTACAATCCCAGCAAGTCATATGTAATCAGAATTGGCATATCTTACCTCTGATGATCTTGCAGAAGTTACATAAGTCACTACAACTACCTCTATCTGATCTACTAGCTGAAGCCCCACAGATGAAGCCAAGATCAAGTGTGGGCAGAAGAATGTTACCAGCCGCAGGCAAGGTGTTTTTGCATTGCCCATTGTGGCTCAATTTAATTCTTTTTAGTGTATGCCCTAGAGTAGTATGATACAGTATACTTATCCATGATGTATCGTACAGACTCTCCATTCAAAATCTACTTTGCAACCTCCCTTGTCTTTTCAGTTGTACCTCAAAGGACTTCCCTGTATGACTTGGGTGGCCAAGACTAAGCATCCCATCACTAGTGAAGTTAAATTATGCACCCCTTGTCACACAGCCATGTGCTTGATTCATGCCATGTTACAAGTTGTTGGCATAACAGAAGATTTTGAATCACCTGGACACATCAAAGTCCAGACTCCTTATTACAGTTAACTGCACTCTAGAAACCTTGACAGGCAAAATAGCCTTCCAAATGAGCACCTCCTGTCACTACATCAGGAAATACCAGTGATAACCATTAGTGAGCTAGCCCCTAACTCAACACACTAACTCTCCCTCTGTCAGCATGTCTTCATGCCAAGGAGAAGAGAGTTGGAGGCCTCCATCAGCAGCCTCCTTGTTCAAACCACCTGTACCATTGAGAAAAGGAAAGGAGGTTCTACAAGCGAGACCCCTTATCCAAAACCCAGCTGTTGATACCTGTCATGACTGTGCCTCAACCCTGACTGGACTTGGCCTTGCACTCATCCAGTCCAGCCTCAGCCTCACCAATCCCTTAACCACAGTAGGTCTAGCATGGTAGGCATTGCTTTGCAGTGCATGTCATTTTGGTTGAGCCTTGCCTGGTCTTGTCCCCAGCCTGCCCTGTCCTAGTCTCCATCACCTTAGTCATACATTACTAATACCATTCTTACCAATCACCTTAGCAATCCTTGTGAGACTGGTATTACCAGTCTCTGTACTATAGTTCTGTCTCTGGTATATAAACCCATAGTTACTCAACCTGTAGTCTCCAGTTGGAAATCAAATAAGTCTCATCTGATATCCCCACCTTGGCCTTGGACTCAGACTGCAACCCATGCAAGGGAACAGTGCTGTTGGAGATATATTCTCCCCTGTGTTCTGCTCACTTTGGTGCGATGTTTGGGTGCTTACATAATCACCTTAGAGCGCACATTTTACAATAGTTTATTCACTGTTCCCTCAGTAGCTTGTTGCACTACTGAGGGTAAGCTCACTTTCACTACCAGTATTATACTTACTGATGTCCTGTAGATACCTACAGGTTGGTCTAATACATCAGTAGCTTGTTGCACTGCTGAGGATACCTACAGCATCCTTCAAAAAGTGCTGCATCTCCAGTTGCTAAGTCCAACCAGTCCACCTCTGTACCTCTACTAGGTGCTCTCCCAACCCTGTTAGTCCTTTCAGGGGCTTTTCAGCCTGAACTTCCAATACTCCCACCAAACATCACCCTGCTGCCCCCATCCCTGATGATGATCCCAGAGATGAAGGGCTGGACAACAATGATAACAACAACCATGATGATGATGACCCTGGAAATGGCCCCAGTGATGATGGGCCTGGTGATGACAATCTGGATGAGAAATGATCTGGAGGACAAACTGGACTTCCCAGATCTGGATGTTGAGCCCATGATTATGGTCCTTGACAACCTTGCAGAAGCCATTAAGTTGTTGGCCTGCAACACCCACACCAGTCCTGAGTCCTCAAGCAGGACTAAGCAGTGCAAGCCAGAGACCTTCAATGGTACTGACCCCAAGAAGCTTCATGCATTCCTAATTCAGTATGAGCTTAACTTCCAAGACCAGCCTCAGGCCTTCAGGACTGACCATGCTAAAGTCATCTTCATGCAGTCTTACCTCAAGGGCATGGCTCTTGGATGGTTTGAGCCAGACTTACTTGGGGTAGAGGACCCTGATGACTGGCCTCTCTGGATGGACTCCTGGAGGGAGTTCATCCTAGAATTACAAACCACCTTTGGCCCTCATGATCCAGTTGCTGATGCTGAAAGTCAGCTCAACCATCTGCACATGAAAGACAACCAGTGCATTAACAGATATGTTGATGACTTCAACTGACTTGCTTTGCAAGTCCAGGGATATGGTGATGGTGTGCTGTGCCACCACTTCTATGCCAGACTCCCAGACTGAATTAAGGACAAGGTCTGCTGGGTTGGAAAACCCTGGACTCTCCATGAACTCTGACACTTAGTGCAGGAGATAGATGTGTGGTATTGGGAGTGCAAGGAAGAGATCCAGCAAGCCAGCAAGCACCAGGGCTCATCCTTGCCCAACAACAAGTCTGGCTCCAGTAATAACAGCAGTCAGCCCAAGCCCACTCAAGACATCTACCCAGCCCAAGCTGGGCAACAATAACAGTAACTTGTCCAAGCCTGAGCCTAGCAAGCTCAGCAAGGATGGGAAGCTCACCCTGGAAGAACACAAGCATCACATAGATGGAAACCTCTGCATGTTCTGTGGAGGGTCTGGTCATTTTGCTGACAAATTCCCCAAGAACGCTGGTAAGGCCAAGGCTTGCACTGTGGCTGCCACTGAGGCCACACCAGCCTTGGGCTCAGGTTCTACCCCCAAGACAAAAAAATAGGTAGCAGCCCCCAGGACTCCACACAATCTGGGAGCTGTGTTGACTCTGGTTGTGCAAACTTGGAGGCTCAACTCAATGCATCTGCTCTTTCCAGCCTGAATTCATTAACTCCATACATCACTATAGGAAGTCATGATTGGCTTCATACTCTAGTGGACTCTAGTTCCACTCATTGTTTCATAGATAATCACTTTGCTAATCAACATTCATTTACCCCTTACTTGGTCTCACCAATCTGACTCTGGCTCTTCAATGGAATGTCTGCATTCACCATTACCCAAGCAATAGATGTCTCAATCTGCTTCACATCTGGAGATGTCACACTGGTAACCCTGTTTTTAGCCCCATTGGATTCTGAGTGTAAGATAGTCCTCAGACATGACTGGCTCACCCACTACAATCCATTGATTGATTGGGTACTGAGCAGTCTAATATTCTGGACTCCTGCACAAGGAATGCCAACCCCATCAACACCCCCTGTAAGCCCAGTTTCCACCAGTCTTCCTGACCCCAGTCCTAGCAACCAACCCATCCTTGCACCATCTGTGCCAGTCTCCAACTCCCCAGATCACACTCCCTGGAGGCCCCTCATGTTTCCCTAATCAATGCAGCCACATTCATGCATGCCTGCAAACTTGAAGGGTCTGTCCAATTCCAACTTCAGCTCTGCCCCTCAGACTCAGCCCAAGCCCAATCAGCCTTGGCCTCACCTCCCCCAGCCTTACCCAATGTCCCAGGGGAGTATCATGATTTTGCTGATGTCTTCAGCAAAGCCAAGGCCTCAGCACTCCCACCTCACTGGGAGTATGACCTGAAAATAGAGCTTGAAGAAGGAACAACCCTGCCATTAGGCACCATCTATTTGCTGTCCCTGGTCAAGCTGCAAGCTCTCCAGACTTTCATTGATGAGAATCTCACCACTGGTTTCATTTGCCCAACCTCTTCCCCCTATGCTGCACTGGTCCTCTTCATCAAGAAGAAGGACAGCTCCCTCCAGCTTTGTGTTGACTTCTGGGGCTTGAACAAAATAACTAAGAAGGACCACTACCCACTACTGCTCATCTCTGGCCTCTTGGACTCACCAAGCCAAGCCAAGGTCTATACAAAGATTGATCTCCAGCATGCCTACCATCTCATCCAGATTGCCCTGGGCCATGAATGGAAGACCACATTTCAGACTTGGTATGGGTCTTATGAGTGGTTAGTAATGTCTTTCAGCCTCACCAATGCCCTGGCCACCTTCCAATGCTTTGTCAACATGATCTTTGCTGATATGTTGGATGTATGCATGGTCATCTACCTAGATGACATCCTAATCTACTCCAGAGATAAGGAGTCCCACAAGCAGCATGTCTGAGAAGTGCTCCACTGGCTTCAGCTTCATGGCATTTATGCAAAGCCAGAGAAATGTGAGTTCCACTTGGACTCAGTTGAATATCTTGGCTTCCATCTTTCCCCTGCTGGCCCCAGGATGTTGAAGGAAAAGGTCCAGACCATCTGTGGTTGGCCCAAGCCTTGCAAGGTCAAGGACATACAATCTTTCCTTGGCTTTGCTAATTTTTACTGCCAGTTCATCTTTAACTACTCAGACATTGTCATACCATTAACCTGGCTTACATCAGCAAAACACAAAAATGTGTTAGTAACTCATAGCTGCCCATAGTATTTGCACAATTCCATATTAGTCCAAAGCAATGTCAAGCATCCTAGCAACTCATAGTGCCAGAGTAGACTACACCAGACTTGCCCAAAGTAGTGGCCAGCATCCAAGCAACTCATAGCACCTGAGTAAGCCACACCAGTGATACCAGCAATCCAAAGACCAATAGCTACCTAGCATACAAGGGAACAGACACACCTAGCTAATACAGCAACCTAGATTCCCACTGTAGTAGAGAACTTGGTAGATTTAACTTTGTTCCTATGCATGAAGGCAACAACACACAGAGATAACATACAGCATTTTTTGATAAGAACAGGAAAGTAATGGATAGTACTAGTCTAGACAAATGGCAAGTATTCAACTACCAGCATGCTCAATAACTGTGCCTATCAAGATCTGGCATAAGTAAAATAGTGGCCCAAAAGAAAAGAGTGAGCATAGCATACCATTGGACTTGAGAGATGGCTGCAGCTCACTGGCCAGAACACTAATGTCAAAAATAGGCTCCCCCAGTCTGCATTTTTTCATTGCTACATGTAATGAGCTGACCTCCATATCTTTTTTGTGGACTCTCGCCTCACCACTGCCTGCCTTGTACTTGTACAACTTGGCCATCAATTTGTATTTGTGGGCAATGCATGTGGCCAGAGCTTGTTCTGCACAAAAGACTTTGCATTGTGTGCATGCTACATTGAGAAGGAGAAGTGCCTCATGATTCAGCTGACTCTTTGATTCATGCTGCAGATTGAAAACCTATCAATGAGCAGTTATTAGGAAGGAAGAAAAGAACTTACTGTGTGAGTGGACAACTCCAATATTCCATACATCTCAGCTAAGACACCAGTTGTCTCTGCTTTGACCTTGGCACTGCTAGAGGGACTGTTGCAGGAAGAGAACCTGCCATCACAAGGCTTATGGGGCAGTCCTTTGCCACCTGGGCAATGCTCGACCATGGGCATGGTTGATCCAGCATGAAGGTGTGTGTGATTGAGGTTATAAACAGACATGAGTGACTATGATTGCAAATGGGATGTGATTGGGTAGTATATGAGAAATACACTCTGTAGTGATCTGAACAACATCCTGATTCACACTGAAGTGATAATCACATAACATGGAATCAGCCTGCCTGACCATCTAGAGTATGCCCTGCTGTCCAAGTTGTGGTAAAGGTGGCTTCCAGAGTCACAGTGCTGTTGCAATGCACATGAGCCAGCCATCCTCTGGGTGCAATACCTGGGTCAATAACTTAGTCCACCTTCACAAGTCTCTCCAACCTTCAAGCTTGAACATTCATAACTCTCAACACCCAACACACTTAGAAGATGTCCCGATGAGCACTGACCCTGATGACTATGCAACTCACGATTACCCAGATTTTGTTCATATGGCATTTGACACATGGGGGCCAACCACAGATGACTTTGAGGGCACAGCTAAAACATTTGGACTTGGCCCAACATTTATGGACAAATTTAACAGTGACCAGTTCAGCAACCTATGGGCATCAAATCTGTACTACCCCTTCAACTTCCACAATGAATGGGAGCTGGCATCATGGTTACTTCATTCAGGCCTGAGCATGAGAGCTATAGACTCTTTCTTGTCATTGTCAATCATAAGCCTGTCCCTATTCTCTCTGAAGATCATTATTGATGTGTGCCAGATACAGCTACTAAATATTTCCTTTCATACAGCCAGAGCACTTTGTGGGCTGGCTGAGTTACTCCCTGGTGGGCCACACTGGTGCTCAATGGAGATTACTCCTTCACAGCCAACCAAACACCCTGTGCACTTGTACTGGTGCAATCCCCTGGAATGCATTGCATGGTTCCTCAACCACCCTTTGTTCTCTGACCAGCTCAATTTCATTCTGAGGCATGTATACAAAATGCCTGAGAAGCTTTGTAGGGTGTATACAGAGTGGATGACCACTGATGATGCTTGGTGTATGCAGGTATGTTTCCACTGCGAGTTATAGATCCTTTTATTCAATTGATGTACCCCAGTCACAGCTTCCAAGTGGAGCGACTCTTCTTGGCACAATACTTTCTTCAGACAAGACAAATATTACTACTTTATGTGGTGGCAGAGTTGCTCATCCACTTCTTGTCAGCCTAGCAAATATCAAGATGTCCACATGCCTAAAATTGTCATCCAACTCATTTATGCTCACTGCTCTCCTCCCCATCCCCAAGTTTGTGCACAAGAACAAGCATATGTGTGGCCTCCTCAAAGATAGGCTCATTCATGAATGCCTGGATATTGTACTTGAACCCATCAAGCAAGCTGCCAAACTTGGCATTATGTTACTGGATTCTCTGGGGCACATGCAGTACTGTTTCATGTCAATTGCAGGTTATATCACTGACACTCCTGAGGCTGCCATGCTCACAGCTGTTGGGGGAAAGACTTCCCTGATCACCATGGCGATGTACAAACAGTTCAGAGACCCATTCTGACATGAGCCATGAACTGTGTCCACCACTTTGGCTCAGCTTGCAGCAGTGAAATCGAAGGTCCACCCTACAAACATCCAAGTCTTCTTTCACAAAGCACAGAACTTTTGCCTCAGTGGAGTTAGTGACCCATTTTGGAGGGACATTTTTTCCTGTGAGACAGTTTTGATGAGAATGTACATTCACATAGTTTGTTGTCTGCACTACTAACAGATTGGTTTATCAGGGAAAAACCAGGAATTTTTCTCACCCTGCCCTCAAGGAAGCTGTCATACAATTCTACTATACTGGGACCTATTGAATTGCAGATAAGTGTCCTGAGTCCTTCAACAATTCAGTTCCCCTTTCCTGTCTGGCTCTTGTCACAGCTGTGGTGAGTTATTTTACACCCCAAGTCACTGCAAATCAAACTTTTCTTGCAGTATCATTGTGTGTTAGATGGATTTGCAAAGAACAGCACAGGAAAGACAATGCCTCAATTCTCCAGCAAGGCTTACAATTCCATTTTCCATGGCATGATGAAGGTGCTGAACAACATCCTTCATAATCCCTATCACAATGCAAGGTTGCACAATCAGCTTTCTCAGTGGGTGAAGGAAGGATGGTAAGTACCGGGGTGGCTGATGCACTCATGCTGACTCCTTGTATCAGGGCTGCACTGCAAGAGGTTGATTTGAATGTAGAGAGGTACCAGCACATTCAGGCAGTCCTTGATTGATTTCATAATACCTGGTCCTGTTGTACCTGTCATTACACATAGTACACAATTGATGCCAATGCTCCTGTTCCTGTCATACCTGCTGTGAACTGTTCCTAGTTGTGGAGTGATCACATGTTTGCAAAGTAAACATTGAGATGGGGAGTACTGGACAACACCCCAAGGAGAATACAGTCTGGCCAGTTTTGTACAGTGATATCTAAGCATGAAAGTTCCATGACAATGTGACCATTCCATAGTAACAGGCAACTAGCCATAGCAAAAAGTATTGTTGGGTGCATCTGTCCAGCCTGGACCTAGCTAGGGGACTCTGTGTATTATGGAGCACTGTGGAGAGCTCCACAGCTCAAAGTGATTTACTGATGTACTCACAAAGGTGCCCCTTGGAACTTCTCTGAGGAGTGCTGCCAGTCATTCAATTAACCTCAAGGCCACCTTCACTACTGTGCTGGTCTTAACCCATGTCATGACTGGGGTTCCCATCACTGTCAAGACCAATGCATCAGACTATGCCATTGCTGGTATCCTCTCTATCACCTGCAATGGTGGCCAGATACATCAGGTAGCCTTCTACTCCTGGACTCTGACTGCCCTGGAGTTGAATTATGATACTCATGATAAGGAATTGCTTGCTATTTTCAAAGCATTCCAGACCTGGCACCACTACCCAGAGGGCTTGGCCTCACCAATCACAAGAACGTGGAGTACTTTTCTACCTCTAAAGTACTCACCTGCCACCAAGCTCACTGGTCAGAATTCCTATCCCAGTTCAATATGATCATCCATTTCAGGCCTGGTAAGCTCAGGGCTAAGCCTGACACCCTAACTAGATGATGGGACATCTACCCCAACAAGGGGGATAGTGGCTATGCCTGAGTGAACCCACAAAGCCTGAGACTGGTCTTCACCCAGGAGCAGCTAGGGGTCCCCCTTCATGCCACTTACCTTGAGTACCTGGTCTTACACACAGTTGCACTAATGGATGTCAAGAAGCTACACAGTGATATCCTGATGGCACTGCCAGATGACCCAGTCTCACAAATCCACCTGTTGTCAAGCAATTAGTGTAACATTCTTGCAATGAAAAGCAGTAACTACCATCAGGTAGTGTTGCATTGTTCATGGCAACAGGGTTGTTGCAAAGAGTGTTGCAATGTCTATACTACTTTCATTGGAATGTGTTGTAGCACCCTTGCCCCTTTCATTGCAACATCTATACTACTTTCATTGCAATGTGTTGTAGCGCCCTTGCCCCTTTTGTTGCAACACCTGTTGCAATGTCTATACTACTATCATAGCAATGCATTGTAGTGCCCTTCATTGCAATATGTTGCAACACCTTGTGACCACCATATTAATTACAACTTAATTGCTTATCTGCTGGCATATGCAGTTGGATAGCTCAAGCACATTTGCACATAGAAGTATGACATATACATGATGATGAGACAATTTCAATGAAGAGTACAAATTACAAAAAGCTTAAGGAACTGTCTTCCTTTTCCTGGCATGAATGATTATCATCAAAACATAGCATCCCAATTGAATTGTGCAACTTACTTTGACTTCCTTGCTGCACCATCCTTGAGTTCAGACCACTTCTTCTTCACCCTATGCACCACCAAACTGTTCTCCTTATCTGCATCGCCTATCATGTTGTCATGCTGGGCACACAAGGATGGGACTGGTTTGCATTTAGGACAGCCTAGCAGAGGGTCCCCAAGCACCTTGGAGGCTGGTGGCAGAGAGCTGTTGTCAGATGGGGTGGAAGGTAACAAAGGCAGGTCTTGTGTCAAGTGCTCATATTGCCCTGCCATTGTGAAATAGTCCAGATATGGATTGGTAGTACTACCAGTAAGAGACATCAAATGGTTTGTAGCATGGACAGTTGCAGGGTTAGAGCTAATGAGGGGTAGGCCATCAAAGTTCCACTGTGGTGTAAACATTGACATTGTGTTGGCCTGGAGAATGCTATCCAGTTCTGTGCCAAAAGAGCCAAAATCCTGTGAAGATAAAAGATGATTGGAAATACCAGAAGGCTGGATACTCACTGAAGGGACAAGAGTGCACTCAGGCATTGCAACACTTGGAAGTCCCATGATGGAACTGGGCATTGCAATGTGTGAAGGTGTTGCAACATATGCTGGAGTTTTTGCCAGACTTGCAATACTTGGATGCATGGTCTGAATGCACAGTGGTGAGACGATAGGATAACATGATGTTGCAAGAGCAGAACCTGTGACGAGTTGGGGTGGAGTTGTTGCAACAGACATACCATCATGAGAAGTTGCAACACTTAAATACTGAAGTGTTGAGAATATAAATATGAGAGTGGAAGCATTGCTCAACTTGTCCAAATGCCCAGCATTGTTGACCTCCTGGTCATCATCAATGCCTGAATCATCACCTTCCTGGTCATCACCAATGCCCACATCATCCCCTTCGTTGTCCTTGCCAATGCCTGCATCATTACCTTCCTGACCCTCACCAATGTCAGTGTCATCTTCATCATCCATGTTCCTGTGGTTGTCAGGCTTGTTGTCATTGTCACCCTTCATGACATCAGCACCATTGTTTGCATCGCTGCCCTTGTTGTGGCCTGTTTTCTTGCTGATGGAGGAGGCTGCAATGACAGGTACATTATCATCTTCCCAGTCAGCATTGCAGCTTTTCTAACTAAAGAATAAAAACTTACAAAGCTTGGAGTCAAGGAATTCTGCATATGCTTGCACCACAGTGGAGTCAAAGTGATGGTAAGACTCTGCAAAATTAAGTCCACATCTATTCTTCCTGATGTGAAGGCTTTATGAACACTGTTGTGTGAGCTAAAACACAATTAGTAGTACTTTTCTCACCTTGCAACCATGCACTGCTCCTCAGCATCTGCCAGATCTGGCCCACCCATCAGAACTGAAAAGGACCAACCGGTCTTTTGTGACAAATGGGTGAGAATCTGCATGAGTGCTGGCGCACACCACTGTATATTACTGAAAGAGGAATGAGCGCTAACTGCCCTCAGCATCACAGCCAGTGTTCCCACCTTCTATGTGTCTCAGCATCAACATCAGCACTGATTTCATTATCACTCTCAGCAGGGGGTGTCTTCCTACTGGTATGTTGCTTGTTATGGATGCACATAACTTTGTCTTGGATCTCTTGAGGTTCTACCCTAAACTTTTTGTCGATCTGATCACAAAGACTGGAAATGTTACTATTGGTCAAGATGTTGGGCTTGACCTGTGAGGTATAGTACATTTTAGAGAGTCAAGACAAGGTGAGGCATATAAACAAAACATTTTATACTTAACATGTTGATGCAGAACACACTGATATGTTTGTTGCATTCAACAAGGAGCACATCAATACATTGTGTATGAGTCTGGAAAGTAATATTGCTCAATACCCAGTCAATCAACAGATTGTATTGGGTGAGCCAGTTATGCCCAAGAACTACTTTACACTTGGAATCCAACAGGGCAAGATACAGGGTTACTGGTGTGTCATTTGTTGGAGATATATTCTCCCCTGTGTTCTCACTTCTTTTGGTGTGATGTTTGGCCACTTACATAAGCCATTAGAGCACACTTACTACACAGTCATTACACTGTTCCCTCAGTAGATTGTTCACTACTGAGGTTGCCTACAGCACCCTTTTTTCAACAACATTGCCAGATGTGAAGCAGATATTGACATCTACTGCTTGAGTTATGGTAAAAGTGGATGTTCCATCAAAGGGCCAGAGTCAGATTGGTGAGACCTGTCATATCCATGACTCTCAGACTCAATCCCAGTCCAGCCTGGACCCCTAGCCCCTACGTCTGGTCAAGTCCAAACCTAGTCTGACCTAAGAAACTCAACTCTGGCCCTAAATAACCTAACTCCGGCCTAGATAACCCAAGTCCAGTGTTTTACCCCTATCTCTGGTCCCCTTTGGCCTCTCAGCCTCATGCTGCTCCACCCTGGTCCTCCCAGGTCCATGTCCAGGTCACTCAGACATAACTCTGGTCTGTTCTTTGATGTTTGTGCTATATTTAGTTTAATCCTCTTGCCTGATCTCTGCTTACTGTACAAACCCTGTGTCTGACTCCAGTTATGCCAGTCACCCAGACTTTGGCTATTAGTCTTGGCACAGCCTCTGTGGCTATCCACCCCTTGGTAATCATCCTCCTAATAGCTTACTAACATGTCTGGCTTCATGTTCATTACTCTGGACTGGCCTCATGTATTTAACCCCTGTACACACTTTGTAGCACTCCAATCAGAATATCAACTAAGTATTACCCTCAACCCTGTACTACTCTCTGAGTCTACTCTATAGCTAAGGCCAAGCCTTAAGCTATCCCCAACCCCTGTCCTGGACCTCTCCCTGGCTTGCATAAGGGTACAGCACATAAGCTGAGACCAAGGGAGGTAGATCCAACCCTGGACTGGCTTCCCCCATGTGTGCACTCCAAGACTGGTTGGTTTCCCATGCTACCAGACTTGTTCCCATGCTCCTGGCCTTGACTCCAGACCTTTGGACTTCACCCCTAACCTTTGGCCTTGACTCCAGACCTTTGGACTTGGCCCCTGGCCTGTGGCCTTGACTTTGGTCTACCAGACTTAACCACTGTCACCTGAGGGTAAACCCATACTTGACAAGACCAAGTATGGGGTAAAAGAGTGTTGATTAGCAAAATGATTATCTATGAAACAATGAGTGGAACCAGAGTCCACTAAAGTATGAAGCCAAGGTAAATCATGATTTTCTATAGTGATGTATGGGGTTAATGAATTTGGGCTGGAAAGAGCAGACACATTGAGTCAAGCCTCCAAGTTTGCACAACTGGAGTCAATGCAGCTCCCAGATTGTGCAGAGTCCCAGGAGCTGCTACCTATTTTTATGTCTTGGGGGTAGAACCCAAGCCTGAGGCTAGTGCAGCTTCAGTGGTGGCTATGGCACAAACCTTGGCCTTTCTGGTCTTCTTGGGGCACTTCTCAGCAAAGTGACCAGGGCCTCCACAGAACATGCAGAGGTTGCTTTCAATGCAATGCTTGCATTCTTCTGGGGTGAGCTTCCTGTCTTTGCCAAGTTTGCTAGGCTCAGGCTTGGATGAGTTGCTGTTATCATTGCCTGGCTTTGATGAGGCCAGCTTGAACTGGGTAGAGACAGTGTTGTTGTTGCTGGTCTTGGGTTTCTCTTGACTGGTCTTGGGCTGATTGTTCTTACTGGAGCCACTGGACTTATTGTTGGAGGAAGACAAGCCCTGATGCTTATTTGTCCATTGGATTTCTTCCTTGCACTCCCAATAGCACACATCTATCTCCTGGGTGAGGTGGTGGAGCTCATGTAGTGGCCAGGGCTTGACAACCTGACAGACTTCATCCTTGATCCAGTCTGGGAGCCCAGAGTAGAAGTGATTGCACAGCACACTGTCACTGTAGCCTCAGACTTGTGAAGCAAGCCAATTAAAATCAACTATGTATTTGTTAATGCACTGACTATCTTTCATGTGTAGATGGTTGAGTTGGCTCTCAGCATCAGCAACTGGATCATGAGGGCCAAAGGTGGTTTGTAACTCTAGGACAAACTCCCTCCAGGAGTTCTTCCAGAGAGGCCGGTCATTGGGGTCCTCAACCCTGAGCAAGTCCAGCCTGAACCACTCTAAGGCCATGCCTTTAAGGTAGGATTGCATGAAGATGACTTTGGCATGGTTGGTCCTGAAAGCCTGGGGCCAGTCTTGGAAATTTAACTCACACTGCATGAGGAAAGTGTGAAGCTTCTTGGGGTCAGTACCATTGAAGGTGTCAGGCTCATGCAACTTGGTCCTGCTTGAGGATTCAGGACCAGTGAGGGTGTTGTGGGCCAGTAGCTTGATGGCTTTTGCAAGACTGTCAAAGACTGCAACTGCAGGTGTGGTGTCCAGGTCTGGGAAGTCTGGATCATCCTCATCTGGATTGTCATCACCAGGCCCATCATCACTGGGACCATTGCTGGGGTCATCATCATTAGGAAATCAATGCAAATCTGGTCCATGCATCATCACTGTCCAATGCCATTTGTCCAGCTATCTCTCACTTTGCAGTATAGCTAACTATTTCTCTGATCCTTCCTCTGTGCTACAACAATCTATCATCCTCCAAAATCATCAAATCATCATCTTTTTCAAAGCAAACATGCACCTTCTCAATTGCCATCACATGACCTATCTTTTTGTGAGGGTAGATCCTGACAACTTCCCCCTAAATCTCCATGCAGAGCATGACATCATGATTGCCACTCTAGCTTTACAACAGTAAGCATGTATTTTATTTCCAAATACTGCAAGTAGTTATCATTGGCATCCAGCCCTTCATCCCTGGGATCATCATCAGGGATGGGGGCAGTGGGGTGATGTTGGGTGGGAGTATTGGAAGTTTTGGCTGAAAAGCCCCTGAAAGGACTAACAGGGTTGGGAGAGCACTTAGTGGTACTCAAGGCAGATAGTGCTGCCTTGCAGTGAGTGCCACTGGCTGAGGCAGATTTGGTGTTGGTGGCAGAGTGGCCATGGGGTGGTTGGAAACAAGTCCTTGTTGCCATAATCTGTTAGACCCACACAAGTGGCAAGTCTGAAATACTGTCAAGTCCATGGAGTCCAGGTTGAGACTGGACTGGAGACTGAAGCTGGCATGAGGCTGTGGGGCCAGGATGAGGGGAAAAGGCAGAGGTACAGAGGGTGGACTGGTTGGACTTAGTGACTGATGATGCAGCACTATTCCCTTGTGTGGGTCACAGTCCAAGTCCAAGACTGAGGTGGGGATATCAGGTGAGACTTATTTGATTTCAGACTGAAGAAGTACAGGCTGAGTATCTAAGAGCTTACAGTGGCTCAAAAAACTGTCCACATGTTTGCATGTTTTACACTAGTTATGACTAAATGCAATAACCCCTGACCCTAGTCCTAAACCATGAGTGTATGGAATAAAGTACTTACTCTTAGCTTTCTATGGGTCCAAGAATTAAGTGATTTGGATAGAGTAGTAACCACTTGAATATGACATGTCATGCTGACAGTTTTTTGACTTTATAAAAATCCAACTATCTAGTACTTGGTATGAGCTCCTTTGGCCTTGATAACTGCTTCAACCCTTCTAGGCATGCTTTCTATCCATTTTTGACACTCTTCCACAGAAATCTTCCCCCACTCCACTACCACCCTTTCCCATAATTGATGAACTCCTGTAGGAGCACTCTCATAACCTGAGAGAGATCTTTTGAGGTGATTCCAAGTGTGTTCAATTGGGTTGAGGTCTGGAGATTGTGCAGGCCAGTCTAGAAGCTTGATATCCTGCTTTTCAAACCATTTCTGCACTCTTCTAGAGGTATGCTTGGGGTCATTATCTTGTTGAAAGATAATGTCATCTTCTGTAATTCCAGATTCCTCCATGCTTTGAAGCAACCCTTCCTGCAAAATGGTCACATACTGTTCAGCATCCATCCTTCCCTCAACCTCACTCAAGACCCCCACACCATTCCACCCTATACATCCCCAAACCATGAGTGGACCTCCTCCAAACTTGACTGTACCTTTGACCTCTCTGGAAATAAGCCCTTCATCCTTCTTTTTCCACACATACTCTTGTCCATCTGACCCAATCCTGTTGATTTTGGTCTCATCTGACCATATAACTCTCTGCCAGTTCTCCACAGTCCAATGCTGATACTTAAGAGCAAAGGCTAACCTGTTCTTCTTGTGACCAGTAGAAAGCAATGGCTTTTTCTTCCTCACCACAGCCTTCAATGAGGCATCTTTGAGGGTTTTCTCACTGCCTGAGAAGAACAGGACTATCAACAATAGAGTTGATGAAATGAGTGGCTTGAACAGCATTTTTGGCCTTGCCAGTAAGGATTTGCTGAACAGTAGCTCTCTTGTTGGTAGAGGAAAGCTTGGAAGGGTGACCACCATGAAGCCTAGACCTCTCTGGTTGGATTTCCTGAAGAACCTGGGATACTGTAGACTTCCCTAGACCAGTCTGTGAGGCAATCTTCCTAGTGGACAGGCCAAGAGAGGCAAGAGAGATGATGTTTCATCTTTGAGAGGTGGAAATGGACTTCATGGTGATGATGAGAAAATGAGCAGAGGGTGGTGGGGTTTATATATGTTGGATCATACTCATTACATAAAGGTAACATAATAGAACCCTTGATGGATGTATGTAACAATATAACTGCATGCCAGGGTCAATATATATAATCAAAACTTTAAGTCACAAAACTGTCTGCATGACATGTCATTTTCAAATGGCTGCTATTCTATCCATTCCTATCCAAATCACTTGATTCATGGACCAATAGAAAGCCAAGAGTAAGTACCTTATTTCATACCCTCATGGTTTAGGGCCAGGGTTAGGGGTTATTGTATTTAGTCATCACTAATGTGAAACATACAAACATGCAGACAGTTTTTTGCACCACTGTAAATCACTGTACTTAGATAGCTGAATAAGAAGAAGATGTCAGAGAGCCCCCTTGCCTGCATTTCATCATCACTCAGTAAATCATTCATCAGTTTCAATAATTGAGACTTTATTAAGGGTCTAATTATCATCTACTTCACTTATCATTGCCTATCATCAATCAAGCTTCACTCCAAGTCCTCCCTGAACTCAATGCAGCTTAGGACATTGAATTAAGTCATCAATCATCCTTCTGTAGGCTGACAGCAGTCTACCCCATCACATTCTATTGCATTCTTGCTCCCTCTTCATCAGGAGCACCCCCAACCCTCAGCACTCATCTTTGAGTGTTGTAACTTGAAAAACCCCACCCTAATAGAAGGTTCCACCATCTGGGTACCACATAGGCACACCACCACTCACTCTTATTGTCTTTTGTGTTGGTTTTGGTTGGTTTTCACCACTGAACCACACTTTGACTCACATTGGGTGAGTGTGGACAAGCAAAACCAAGGCCAGGCAGGCTCATAACAGACAGACTGGAGGCCAAAAAGGGGGTCCAGGGCTCCAAGGCCAGTGTAGCAAAGGCCAAGGGTGCTGTACAAACCTGTGTCTGACTCCAGTTATGCCGGTCACCCAGACTTTGGCTATTAGCCTCAGCACAGCCACTGTGGCTATCCTCACTTTGCTAATCATCTCACTAATAGCTTATTAACAAGTCTGGCTTTATGTTCATTACTCTGGACTGGCCTTGTGTATTTAACCCCTGTACATACTTTGTAGCACCTCAGTCAGAATATCAACTTAGTATTACCCTCAAGTCTGTAATACCCCTCAAGTCTACCCTATAGCTAAGGCTGAGCCTTAAGCTATCCCTGGCTTGCATAAGGGTACAGCACATAAGCTGAGACCAAGGGAGGTAGATCCAACCCCAGACCAGCTTCCCCCTGTGCACACTCCAAGACTGGCTGGTTTCCCAAGGTCCTGGTCTTATTCCCATGGTCCCAGTCTTAAGTCCAGTCCTCTGGACTTAACCCCTGACCTCTGACCTTAACTCTGGTCCAACTGGACTTGACCCCTGTCACCCAGCCTTGACATTGGTCACCCAGACTTAGCCCCTGTCACTCAGTCTTGAAGCCTGGTCACCTGAGGGTAAACCTGTACTTAACAGTATATTCTGATTCACACTTGTGCAAGTCATTTCATCATGTCTAGGTCCTGCTCTAGAGCCCCTACCCATGACCTTGCCCCTCAGCACTCTGCACACCCCTGGCCCTATGTTCCTAGTGGTTGAAACTTAATGCATCCATTCCCTCACTCCTGACCCCTGTCTTCCACTCATTTTTGCCTGACTCTGGACCAGCCATGTCAAGCCCTGAGTTGGACTCACCATCCAGACTCACCACCAACCTGGGTTCATGCCTGAGCCCACTTCTAAGTTGGAATTACCCTCTGGACTTGCCCCTGAGCTGGCCTCAACAACCAGACTCACTTCTGTTAGTTCCCCTGAGCTACCTCTGACCCCTGGCTGGTCACCCTGGTCTTCACCTTGGTCTTTACCTCAGTCATCCCAGCACTCCAGCCCATGGACACTGGGATCACATCACTCATTTGACCTCCTGGCCCCCTGATATTGGTCTCTGGACCTCTGCACACCTTTGGTGCAGCCCTCAGGCCTGGACTTGGCCAGTCCCAGCCCTCAACACCTTCCCTGTTCCCCATCAGCACTCAGCTTCAGCAGTTTTTGGTCCAGTCTCCACCCTCAGCCTTTGCTTCACTGGCCTTGGCATCCTGGACCCCCAGCCTCCAGTCTGTCTGCTACCAGCCTTCCTGGCTTTGGTTTGGCTTGTCCACACTCACCTGGACTTGTCTAAAGCCAGTCTGCCACTTCTTTCAGCCTTCTGCCCCTCACTACTGGCCATTCTGGCCTTGGTCAGATTTGGCCACCTCACCCAGACCTGTCTAGACTGGTTACTGGCTCTTAGACCAGTCCTGGCTTTCCTTGAACCCTCCTATTCCTCACAGACCCCTCCTGGGTCCCCAGTCCCTTGTCACATGTCATAGCCGTGCCTTGACCCTGGCCAGACTTGGCCTCACACTTGTTCAGTCCAGCCTTGGCCTTGCCAAACTCTACCTCCAGTTGGTCTAGCACAGTCAGCACTGCTTTTTAGTGCTGTTACTAAGTGTCATCTCAGTTGAGCCTGCCTCAGCCTTGTTCCCAGCCCACCTTTTCTCTGTCCTGGTCTCCTGTCACCTTTGTCATGTCTTACTAATACTTTTCTTACCAATTGTCTTAGCAGTCCTTGTGAGACTGGCATTACCAGTCTCCATACTATAGCTTGTCTCCAGTATATAAACCTGTAGATACTCAGCCTGTACCTCTTCAGTCTGAAATCAAATAAGTCCTCTCTGAATTCTCTGCCTCTGCCTCAGACTCAGACTCAGACTGCAACCCATGCAAGGGAATAGCACTGCTTCCACAGTTGCTAAGTCCAATCAGTCCACCCCCTGTACTTCTGCTCCCCTCCTGCTCCCAACCCTTTGGCCTTGCATACCTGCATCAGTCTCTGGTCTGGTCTTGAACCTGGACTTCACAGACTTGACATCCCAGCCTTGGGAAGAGCAGTTGTCCATCAGACTTGCTCCTGGCCCTTGGTTTGGGTGGTCCCAGCTTGTGTATGACACCTCCATTTCAGTCTAAGACTGGTCTGCTGGCCCTCTGGCCCTTAGCCTGGTCCCTGACCTCTTTTCTGGCCTCTCTTCTCACTTGGAGGTGCCCCTGGGCATACCAGCCCTTCTCCTTTCCTGTACCTGCCTCTCCAGCCTCAGCATGGTGCTAGTCCTTTGGACTTGCTCCTGGCCCCTGATTGTCAGTCTAGGACTGGTCTGCCAGTCCTCTGGCCCCTATCCCTGCCCCTGACCTCATTTCTGGACCCTTCCCTGTCCTCTGTCTATTCTGGGATCCTATCTGGGTTAACAAGTTGGTAACTCTGCACTCCAGAAGCCAAAACCAGTGGTCTCAGTTGAGACAAAACAATTAGAGTCAACCCCAGGATCCTAACTGGGTCAACAAGTTGGTAATCTGTTACACCAGAAGCCAAACTGGTGGTCTTGGTAGAGATGAATCAATTAGTGCAACACTCTGGTCCCCTTAGCAGTCCTCCTGGCTTGTCCTGCCAGACCCCAGCATTCCCTCAGCCTCAACCTGGTTTGTAGCCCTGGACTGGACTTGCCAACTCCAGTCCTCCTGCTGTTTGTGTCCAGTTTTGTCACCTCTGGACTCCCTTATGACTGGTCTTCCCTCCCTCACTAGGCCTTGTCAGCCTTTGTCTGGCCTGTCACCTCTGGCATGTCACCTCCAGACTCTCCACTTCCAGTCTTTCCTCCCTTGTCTGGCCTGTCATTTCCAGACTCCCTCATAGCCCCTGACCAGTCTTGCTCACTCTGGACTTCCTTCTTTTGGCCAGCCTCCCATCTCCAGCCTCCTTCAGTCTCTGATACCCTTTTGATAGCTCTGTGCTACTCCCTTGTCACTCCCTCAGCCTTTGGGCTTGTCACTCATCCTGGAACTACCCCTGTCCTCTACCCTGGTGCTATGGCCTTGACCTAGCATCTCTTTCTGGTCCTTGGTGGACCCAGCCTTGGTTCTCTCTCGGTCTCCAACCCCCTGTTTAACTGGCCTTGTCAACCCATTAGGAACCGAAGTACCTAGGTTGTAGAGAAGTGACTAGCCCACTCAATAGGCACCTGTTGGTGGCCAAGTGTAGTGCAGTCACCTATCCCTGCCTAATGCTAAAGTTTGCTAACCCCCCTGATGTCAACCCCACCTTGGAGCATAAATTTGCTTGTAAGACACCCCAGGCTTTGGCCCATCTGACAAACCCCTGACTCTGCTGGTCCACTTCCCAGCTCACCCACTCACCCCAGAACTTGTATGTTTGTGAGGCCCCTTCAGGTGCTAGCTAACCCCTCACCTTCCCCCTAACCATCACCACTGTCACCCCACCGTTAACTCTGGAACTCTGGTCCTACCCATTCTCCTGACTCTGGTCTTACTGGTTGTCTTTGACCTGCCAGCCTTCACTTGCCTTCTTGTTTCCTCTTGGGCTCTGGTTCCAGCCTTCATACCCTTATTTTCAACTCCAACACTCCTTACTATCCCTGTACCAGTCTGGCCTGCTCTGCCAGTCTTGTATTTCCAGTTTTAAAGCTTTTCCTGGCCTTGAAAAAACTTCCTGAAACTGGTCTTGACACCTGTTAAGCCAGTCTCAGCATTCTCAGTACTCAGACTTACAACTCTGGTGGTAGTACTCCTACTACCCACCTGGTACTCCTCTTGATGGTCCTGGCCCACACCTTGTACCCCTGTAGACTTGGGAAGTCTACCCTAAGAGGTGGATAAGGGACCTCACTAGCATCCTACTCTTTCCCAAACCCCTGTCCATTACCTCTCCAGTACCCTCAGCACAACCCCACTCAGTCCCTGCACACCAGTCCCCAGTTTCCTTGGCCTGGTCCTTGCATACTGAAACACTCCTGAACCACCCACCCCTGGGTTGCTCCCAGCCCTTGCCATTAGTATTGGTACTCTGGTCTCACTACCTCAGTAGTCCTCAGCCTCAGTGATTATGTGTCCACTGGTCTCCCTGGTCTCAGCATCCTGTTGTCAACCCTTTGGCTGGATAACCCCTAGGCCCCATCTGGTCCCCAGACTCCCTGAACCAGTCCTCCAGTGACTCTTGGCCCTTGGGCTTCTTGCCACTGGACAACCCATCCCTGACCAACTTCAGACACCCCTAAACTGGACTCAACAACCAGACTCACCTTTGGCTGACACTCATAGGCTTCATTGCACTGGTCTCATGACCTGCCAGTCCCCAGTTCATGCCTAGCTGTGTCAAGTCCTCCAATCCTTGTCCAAACCAAACTCTAGCTGTCCTAGACAGTCCCCAATCCCTTGCTAGAAGCTTGTCTGGCCCTTTCCATGGTGCTTGGCACTCAGCCTTTCCACTCCCAACCTTGGGTTCACACCTTGCTACCCTGGTTACCCCAGTCTCAGTGTTAGCCTGCCAGCCTACACTGTTTTGGCCTCTGGTTATCAGCCCACCAGCTAGATAGCACCTCAGGTCACCTCTAACCACCCCAAACCCCTCTGACTCCTTCAGAATGGCCTTCAGCCAGCCACTCCAGCCTGGTCTCCCTTTGGATTTCTGGCCTTACAGCCATGTCCCAGTCTCCCACCAGTCTTTCTAACCCTTCTGGCCTTCACTGGCTCCTGGCTGGTCCCCACCTGGCTTTTCTAAGCCCTCTCTGACCATTAGACCAGTCTTCAGCTGGCCCTTCCAGTCCTCTCTCATTCCAGACCAGTCCCCACCTGCCCTCTCTGACCCTCAGACTGGTTCCTGGCCTTCCTGGCCTTCTGTCCTCTTGACCAGTCTTCAGTCTCACTGTTCCCTCCAGACAACTTGCTTTAGCACAACTGGCTTTAGCCACTCCCAGTCTCAGTCTCTGGCTTTTGCCACCCCTGGCCTGAGCCACTCTCAGTCTCAGCCTTCAGCTTTGACCCCTGCCTCTAGCTCCAGTTTCCTGTTCCCCTGTTATACATTTTCTCAGTTTTCTGTTATATGTTTTCTTTTTCTGTAGATACACACTTTCAGACCCCATGACCCCCTGCAGCAGACCTTGGACCCATCCCAGCCTTCTCAGCACTTCTTGTGACCCTCAGTACCCTTGCAATGCACTCCCAGTCCAACCAGTGCATTCCTAGACTGGTTTCCTGGCCTTCCCTGCACCCACCCAGCCTTTGTGTCACTCCAGTGCCACTCAGAAGCACATTAGTACACCCCTGGTCCATCTTTTTGTCATCTCCAGACCTCTCTGGACTCTCTCAGCCTCCATGTTGCCCTGAACCAGCTTTGAGGCACACCTCTGGTCCTAGTGACACATCCCTGGTACATTTGTTGGACATTACTGGTCCTCTCTGTACATTTTTGGCCTTCACTTTTGCCTGACCTGGCTCCAGAGTGCACCTCTAGGCCATGTCTCGTCATTCATGGCCTGTATGTTGCCTTAACCCAGCCCCAAAGTGCAACTCTGGCCCCCTGAAACACTGGCTTCAGCTTTCACTGTCTCTGGAAACCCCTGTCCAGCCAGTCTAATCATTTCTGACTTGGCTTTGCCTTGTCCTGACCTGCTGAATCACCTGGCAGCATCCCAGACTGGTCTCCAGCCCACTTTTTGTCACTTCTCCAGCCTTGGGTTCCCAGAACACCCCTCAGCCTTGACCCTTGTCCCCAAACCTGGCTTGTGCCATCCCAGTCTGAACTACTGAACCTCTGGTCATCACTGCCCTGTTTCCTGGCCCTCTGACTCACCCTTGGCACTGTGTGCACACTTGGACTCACTGTTAGTCATGCAACTACATTGTGTAACCCTCTGGGCATATTTCCCTATGGAACCTCAAGGGTTCAGTTCCTAAGAGGTGGATACTGTCATATCCATGACTCTTGGACTCAATCCTGGTTCAGTCTGGACCCCTAGCCCCTATCTCCAGTCAAGTCCAGTCCTGGTCTGGCCTAGAAAACCCAACTCTGGCCCTAGATAACCCAACTCTAGCCTGAATAACTCAAGTCCAGTGTTTTACCCCTATCTCCAGTCCATTCTGGCTCTCCCAGCCTTGCACTGCTCTGCCCTGGTCCTCCCAGGTCCATGTCCAGGTGACCTGGACATAACTCCAGTCTGTTTTCCATTGTTTGTACTATATTTAGTCTAGTCCCCTTTGCTGATCTTGCTTACTGTACAAACCTGTGTCTGACTCCAGTTATGCTGGTCACCCAGACTTTGGCTATTAGCCTCAGCACAGCCACTGTGGCTATCCTCACCTTGCTAATCATCTCACTAATAGCTTATTAACAAGTCTGGCTTTATGTTCATTACCCTAGACTGGCCTTGTGTATTTAACCCCTGTACATACTTTGTAGCACCTCAGTCAGAATATCAACTTAGTATTACCCTCAATTCTGTAATACCCCTTAAGTCTACCCTATAGCTAAGGCTGAGCCTTAAGCTATCCCCAGCCCCTGTCCCAGACCTCTCCCTGGCTTGCCTAAGGGTACAGCACATAAGCTGAGACCAAGGGAGGTAGATCCAACCCCAGACCAGCTTCCCCCTGTGCACACTCCAAGACTGGCTGGTTTCCCATGGTCCTGGTCTTATTCCCATGGTCCCAGTCTTAAGTCCAGTCCTCTGGACTTAACCCCTGACCTCTGACCTTAACTCTGGTCCAACTGGACTTGGCCCCTGTCTCCCAGCCTTGACATTGGTCACCCAGACTTAGCCCCTGTCACCCAGTCTTGAAGCCCAGTCACCTGAGGGTAAACCCATACTTAACAGGAGGTCAAATGAGTGATATGATCCCAGTGTCCAGTACAGTAGAACCGGACCAAGACCACTGGGATAGAGTGCTGGGATGACTGAGGTAAAGACCAAGCATGAAGACTGAGGTGACCAGCCAGGGGACAGAGGTAGCTCAGGGGAGCTAACAGAAGTGAGTCTGGTTGTTGAGGCCAGCTCTGGGGCAAGTCCAGAGGGTAACTCTGACTTGGAAGTGGGCTTGAGTGTGAATCCAGGTTGGTGAGTCTGGCTCAGGGGCTGACATGGCCAGTCCAGATTCAGGAAGAAATGAGTGGCAGGCAGGGGTAGGAGCAAGGGAGTGGATACATTAAGTTTTGACCACTAGGAACATAGTGCCAGGGGTAATGCAACCCAGGGTGTGCAGAGTGCTGAGGGTCACCAGTTACCTCTCTGCTTTAGCAGAGGTCTCCAGGTTGGGGTCCAGAGGCAGATGAGAGGTATCCCAATGAGTCCCCAGCAGGCAAGGTCATGGGTAGGGGCTCTAGAGCAGGACCTAGACATGATGAAGTGACTTGCACAAGTGTGAGTCAGAATATACTGTTAAGTGTGGGTTTACCCTCAGGTGACAGGGGCTAAGTCCAGGTGACCAAAGTCAAGGCCAGGAGACAGGGGCCAAGTCCAGTTGGACTGGAGCTAAGGCTGGAGGTCCAGACTTAAGACTGGGAGTGTGGGAATAAGGCTGGTAGCATGGGAAACCAACTGGTCTTGGAGTGTGCACAGGGGGAAGCTGGTCTGGGGTTGGATCTACCTCCCTTGGTCTCAGCTTATGTGCTGTACCCTTAGGCAAGCCAGGGAGAGGTCTGGGACAGGGGCTGGGGATAGCTTAAGGCTCAGCCTTAGCTATAGAGTAGACTCAGAGGGTAGTACAGAGTTGAGGGTAATACTACATTGATATTCTGACTGAGGTGCTATGTAGTATGTACAGATGTTAAATACATGAGGCCAGTCCAGGGTAACAAACACAGAGCTGGACTTGTTAATAAGCTATTAGCAAGGTGATTAGCATGGAGGACAGCCATAGAGGCTGTGCCAGGACTAATAGTTAAAGTCTGGGTGACTGGCATACAGTAGCTCACAAAATTGTCCCAGTGTTTGCATGTTTTTCATTAATCATGGTGTAGCAAGTGAACTGTCATTATTGAGTCAAAGGTGTTGGTTGATGGATCAAAGCTGCTGGCCATGGTTCTCTGAGGAGCCATATCACCTTGTTTACAAGGTCACTCCACCCTGAAATCCATAATGCTTTTTTGGTCAGCCATGACTATCATATTTTGGATCTCTGCAGTGCACTCCGCCACCTCCAAACACCAAAGTACTGCCATATGCGATGTCACAAGACAGATGCTCACTGATTTACAGTGCAAACGATGCCAGCCCCCCCTCCCAGCTTGAACATTGAGGGAAGATGTCTGTAGTTGGTATGACCTCCTGCTGTTTGTGCCTATCTCATCTCCACCTCAAAAGATCTCTCTCAGGTTATGAGAGTGCTCCTACAGGAGTTCATCAATTATGGGAAAGGGTGGTAGTGGAGTGGGGGAAGATTTCTGTGGAAGAGTGTCAAAAATGGATAGAAAGCATGCCTAGAAGGGTTGAAGCAGTTATCAAGGCCAAAGGAGCTCATACCAAGTACTAGATAGTTGGATTTTTATAAAGTCAAAAAACTGTCAGCATGACATGTCATATTCAAATGGTTACTATTCTATCCAAATCACTTAATTCTTGGACCCATAGAAAGCTAAGAGTAAGTACTTTATTTCATACACTCATGGTTTAGGACTAGGGTCAGGGGTTATTGCATTTAGTCATAACTAGTGTAAAACATGCAAACATGTGGACAGTTCTTTGAGCCACTGTATATACAGTACAGGGGCATTGCCTATGGAAAACAAGGTGCAAACACTTGGTAAGTGATTGGTAAGTGATAAGTAAGGAATGTAAGTGGTGGGTAATCATCTTAGAAAGCATTGGTGAGCATTGGTAAGGATAAGTAAGCCAAAAGGCAAAGAATCAGTAAGCAAAGTCAAAAGATTGGTAAGTATTGGCAATAGGTGAGTCAAGGACAGTCAGAATGTCAAAGTATGAGTCAAGTAATGTCAGGAACTGGGAAAGTGCACTGGAATCACATTAGGGGGAGGCTGTGCAGGTCACATCTCGAAGAGATTGCTTCTAGGCCAAGGTGGGATGACAGAGAGGCAGCACTGATTTGATGGCAATATAGTACATCCAAAAGTGGACAGGGTGAGTCAGATGTCAACAGGGGTCAAGCTTTGGGTGTCTGTGGGGTGACAGGAACATAGGGGATCACAACTTTCCCCCCCTAACTGTCCTCTCAGTGACACAAATAAAAACTTCATGAATGAGGCTCCATTGGAAGAGAGGATGAAGGGGGAGCATCTTCTGCTGTATCTTGCAATAAGAAGGCAAGATGTGTGTCATACTTGTCATGGATGTGATCAGGGAGGGTGGAGAACAGTAGATTATACTGTAGCTGTTGCAGTTTTGGAAGAATGATGGATGAGATTGGTATGAAAACATTGCAGGGAGCAGGGAGGAAGGATCCATATGCTTCTTGGACTGGAGAGACTGAAACAACCACATAAGACCTTTCCAAGTGAATGACAGACCTGAGGCAACCAAAGAACATCCTCCTAGAGGTCATACTAACAAAAAGAACATGCTGTCAAAGCTGGATGGTGTCACACACCAAAGGTGTTTGGTGAGGTGGACATGGATACAGCTGATGAATGAAGATGAAGACCATAGCCCTCATGTGAAGAAGGACAGCCAGAAATGTCAGCAGTCATCCCTTGCACAAGAATGAGTCATCAGTGCCAAAGAAAAAGGAAGGAAGTGGGTTAAGTGCTGATAAAAATTCTTAAGCACCCATGTATGACATTCTGGTTTTTGACATATCTCCACCAATTCCACAGATACCAACACCATT